GATTGCTTGGAAGGCTTTTGCTAAAGCAAATGCAGATCACTGATATTCTCAGATAGACTTCAAATTTCAGTGTGAGGAATTCTCATTCAGGGTCAGCTCACGTGATCGTTGCTGGTCAATAGAGCGTGAAAACAATGAAAGGAGAGAAAGAGAGAGATTTACAGAAAGTTTTATTTAAATTAGTTGTTATATAAATAACAAACATAAAAAAAGATCGGGTGCGTATTTAAAAATTGTTTAAAATTGGATGATGGGTAGGAGGCAGTGTTTAAGGGACACACCTTTTTTTATGGAGCTCAATATCAAAATAAACTTAAATAATTGAAGGCATCTTTTATATATATATATATATATATATATACATATATATATATATATATATATATATATATATATATATATATATATATATATATATATATATATATATATATATATATATATATATATATATATATATATATATAATAGGGATGGCAATCGATTACAGAATTGCTAATCGGTTAACCGCAAGATATATATATAAAACAATTTTTGTTTGATAATTATTTCAATAATTATCATGTGAAGTGCTCTTTTTCATACTGTTCAACAGAAGCAAGAACAGACTCGGGAATACATTAAAATTATCCATTTATTGTTTTCTGTGATGTAAAAAGGTCTACAGCTCTTTGCATTTTCAATTATGTTATAGAGTCATCCTACCCTAGGAGTTGAAATAGGACTGTGACATATATTGCTACATTGAAATGTGAATTACTAGAAATTCGCAATTTTTAAAAAATATCTTATATTTACATTCTAGTCAACCAAGGTGAGTTCAATCTACCCTACCTATGCTGGATTCCTAAACTTCATAAAAAGCCTAAAAAAAAAAAAAGATTGCAGGGTTCAGCAAATGCTCTATCAAGCCCCTATCTTTACTCCTTACAAAATTACTTCGTTAAAAATCGCTCTGATTCCACACACAAGTACTCTGAGGGTGCTACAGTTCCTCATTGACAACTTTTTGCAGTTCCTCATTGACAATATTTATGTAGTCTTCGGAGACAAGTCTTCCAACAAAATGTTGAATTTCCAATGGGCACTAATTGTGCTCCTTTATTGGCCAATTTGTTTTTTATTATCGGCCGCAGCAGCGGCCGATCAATTTGTGGTTGTGTTAGAGTGTGCAAAAAGAAGGCGTTATTTTTTCCATTGCTTCGGTGGAATAATTCCTTATTGAGAACAAGCATAAAAGTTATGAATAAAAGTTTTAAAGTTTGCTTCATACTAAGTCTATATGTTTGTTATTATGTTTCATTTTCTTTTTCAATTCTCTTCGGATATTCATTAATTTAATAATTTTACAAAACGTTGTTTCACGAACTGCTCCCCAACGTGGGCGTGCGTAAGATGTAAAAAGAAAATGTATTGAGTTTCCGGATATGAATTACAGTGCTTAAAATAATTAATAAATTGGAATAAGAACTGAATTTTGTTTTGAATACACTGAATTTGCAAGTGATACAATTTTTTTTCTGCACTTCACATACGTATCTTTCACAACACTGATCGGCATTATCATCGGACAAATCGGGGTATCAGTGAAGTTTGTCAGTTTTCTTTTTCTTTCTTTTTTTTTTTCTTTTTTTTTTTTTTGTTTGTCAGCATTCAGTTTAGATATTTGTTACATTTGTCCTTGAATCAAATAATTTGATGATAATACATTTCTATCCGTTATCTCGGACCGATTTTCATATCAATGAATTTATTTTCTTTGGATAAATATTTAACAATTGATCACTGAAAATTAAAGCGTAAAAAATGCACAGAAAGTAAAAATTGTTTCATATATTTTTTCTACTCGGATTTTTTTCCTTGGACTCTCTTACGGAAATACCTAACAAATGATAAATATATTTTTCGCGGCCGATTTGATGCTTTGCATCAATTTAACTTTTATTCCTATGAGGCAGAATTTATTAAGAACTTCTACATGAGAACAAGAAAACACATGTTGTGGCCTTCAACTCAACATTCATATGTATCGACGATGTTTTATCAATTACAATAGCCACTGCCATTCATATGACAACTCGATATATCCCGATGAACTTGAAGTAAAAGACACTACATCCATTCCGCCACATCTGTTTCATATTTGGATGTTTTACTGACTATAAATGATAAAGGCCAACCAACAGCTAAAATTTTATGATAAACAAAATTACTTCAGCTTCTCCATCATCAACTTTCCTTATTTATGAAGTAATATTCCGCTATCATCTGCAAATGGTGGTTACATCTCCAATTTCAAGAGCATGCATTGCTCAGAGTAGTAAATTCTATGGCCATTATAATAACTTTGTTAGCAAATATAACTTATCATTGGGTCGTATATTAGCTGACATTTTTCATACTAATTGTTAGGGCTTTGTTTTTATACTGAACTCCACTACGGAATATTCCATCTACCTGATCAATGCATAGGGCTCACGGTGGGTGTGTTCGGTCAACAAGGGATGCTTACTCCTCCTAGGCACCTGATCCTAACTCTGGAATGTTCAGGCCAGGGGTCCGTGTTTATGCCCTGTTCACAGATTTGTATTGTTTTTAGTTTTTATGCCCCTGTATCGAAGATTTGGGGGTATATAGTTTCTGTCCTGACCGTTCGTCTGTCTGTTTGCCTGTTTGTCCGCAAAAACTTTAACTTTGCCCATAACTTTTGATTTATTGGAGCAAAGGCTTTCATACTTCACCCGTGTAATCCTTGTGACAAGACATTTCTTTGGATATCAACAACTTTGACCTTTTGACCTTGACTTAGGAGTTTGACCTACTTTTGAAAAACTTTAACCTTGGCCATAACTTTTGAACGGTTGGTGTTAGGGCTTTCTTACTTTACACGTGTAATACTGTGACAAGACCTTCCTTTGTATATCAACAACTTTGACCATGGAGTTTGGTCTACTTTTGAAAAAAATTAACCTTGGCCATTACTTTTGAAAGGTTGGTGCTAGGGCTTTCATATTTCACATGTGTAATTCTTGTGACAAGACCTTCCTTTGGATACCAACAACTTTGACCCTTTGACCTTGGCCTGGGAGTTTTACCTACTTTTGAAAAACTTTAACCTTGGCCATAACTTTTGAACTGTTTGTACTAGGGCTTTTATATTTTGCATGTGTATTTCTTATGACAAGGTCTACCCCTGCGTACCATTAATTTTGACCCTCTGACCTTGACCTTGGAGTTTGACTCACATTTTGAATATATTAACCTTGACCATAACTTTTGAATGGTCAGTGCTTGGACTTTCATATTTACCAGGTATATCCATTGACGTCCTTTCTTTGGGTAACATTTTTAATCTCTTGACCCTGGAGTTTGACATGCATTTTAGAAACATTAACCTTCGCCATAAGCTGCCATATGGGGGCATCAGTGTTTCACAAACACATCTTTTTTTTTGTTGTTGTTGAGAACATCTTATTCAAACTTTCTATCAGTGATGACTAGAGTCAAATACTACAGTATATTTATTTAATAGAACTAATATCTGTATCTGTGTATGGCAGAATCCTCTAGGGTATAAAAGTGACAGGTTGGGACGAGGGTGGGGGCATTTAATCGCCCTGATGTTGTAGCGCAGATTTGAAGCTCTCCAGCTTCTTCCCTTTCACTATTTCCTCCTCCAGGTTCCAGTGTAGGGTAGGTGAAGTTCATTTACTTTCTCTTAATTTGTAATCTTTTGTTACGAATTTTACACCCTTTCTCTGTATAAGTTATAGCGGGTAATTTGATTATTTCTTGTTTGGAGTATGGGTCCCAGACGATATCTCATATTCCATCACTGATCTTATGAGTGCGGTGTGTGCCATTTTCCTACATTCCCTTGGACAATATTGTACATTCCTTCTCATGTAGCTTTACATTGCACTGGATTTGTTTGTGATGTAATTTATATTTTCTTTCCATTTGTGATCTTCAGATATATGAAGACCTAAGTAAGGATACGATGACATTTGTTCTAACAATTGGTTCTCAAGGGTTTGTTAATCTTTCTTCGTAGGCTTAATATATGGCAATTTTTGCATTATTGATTTGCATTATAAGTCAGCTTCTTGAATCAAACCTCATGAGTGAAGTGAATACTCTTTTTCCAGAGTTTACACATATATATTGACCCAAATAACAAGGCTGGGAAGAGTTAGATGACCTCTTACTTTACACAAGGGTCTTAACTTTTGCTGCTATAGTATTAAAAGATATCTAGTGTTACTCCATCTGACTAAATTATAGTGCTCCCGGCCATCTTTTAAAAAATTGTTTGTTCACCTTCTCCTGACTGACAAAAAAAAAGGCCCCACTCAAAACTTTCTTTTAACTTCCAGGAAACAATTTTCTAAAAAATTTTCATTCCAAAGTTTTTTAAATCCCATTAATTACTATTTCATCTTCACATTCGCAAGTGTTTTTGAATTGACCCCCCCCCCCTTACCTACCTACCCAAATTCTTTATCCTGAGTCAGGAAAGGGCAAGCAAACATTTTTTTTAAAGATAGCTCCAACTATAATCGCATTATTTAGAAGGTCATTTATTGCAACCAATCATGCAAAAGAGACTGATATGAAAGTTTGAAGGCACTCCTTAAAGTGTTCTATGTACATGTACTAGTATTATTACGATGTCATACAATATTTTTAAGTAATGTCAACAATACCTTTTTTCAATTGTGTTTTTTTTTTCAAGATACATGTAGGTGGATTTCGGCCAACCAAATTACACTGTTTCCTTCAGCTAAACCCCTGCACTTCTGACAACAAACTTAAATATCACGCTGTCTAAAAACAGAACTTTACCACTCTTCATTTACAACAAACATCATCTGCATTCCTGTGTGATTGACAACTACTACTAAATGTAAGAAATGACAGAGAACTCAGCATCAAACATGATTTGAGTATACTTAGTATTTGTATCTTTTCCTCTAATGACATTAAATACAAATACAAAATAAAATTACAGATAAAAGTTTAATGAAATAAAAAAAATCAGTGACATCTACAGTGACATGGAGAAAATAAACAAAACTGCTGCTTTTTGTCTCATTTTTACAAGTTTTAGATTGGTTTGATTTTAAAATGAAGTCCAATCAACGAGAAAACCAGACACTTCAGATCCTGTACGAGGTAATAGAAGGTTCTCAATCCTTCTGGGTCCCTGACAAAAAAAAAGAGAAGGAATATGCATTCAATTTTATCCTTAATAAAATTTTGAGCTACGATTAAAATATCTGAGAAGGGGACATTTTAAATTTTGCCATATTTATCTGATCATTTCTTTAACCAAGTTCTCTTTTTTTAATGTAGCTTATTTTGTAAAAGCAGATCTTTGTTTGGAAAACTTACGAGAATTTCAAATATAATCAATATTTATTAATTCACTTTATCAATAACCTTTCAGTAAACATATTGATTACTAACTTGCTTTGGTTAACATCTACTAGAGATCCAATCTTTGATGTTGTGAATGATATATGCTCATCTCCAATGACAATCTCAAGCTCCTAAAAAGTACAAAACAGAAATGTGAAAAGGGGGGTAACTCTACAACAGTGTAATCTGATCTCTAATGGTGAAAGTGAATTATCACTCCTTCCAATTCAAGCACTGATAAGAAAACTGTCTGAATTCATTTTTGATCACTTTATGATTTAAATCTGTCTTCCTGTACAGACCTGTCTACCAACTCTGTCATGTGGAGGCCACAATGCGTCATCTTCCTGGATAATTTCCGAGTCCTCAATGATTCTTTTCAGCTCTTCCATCACTGACTTGTGGACATAAGCCTACAATATTGATCAGATCAAAACTTATGTAAATAAATTCTTACAATCTGTTTATACTGGATCATTTCATTACAATATCTTTACATACAATTTTTATAAATATTGGAATATTTTTGTGATGTTTGTCTTTGAAAAAAAAATTGTGATTTATATTAGTTGCAGGTCTGTAGCTCGTTGGTCTGAAAAAATTGGGATGGACGACCAGAGAGTTACAGTGCCACCCACTGAAAAAGTGTATATTTATTGCTCACCAAAAAGTGATTTATTTCTCCTTATATATCACCACTATAACTAATCATGCATTCCTTACATATTTGTTTACTATTTCCACAACAAAACTACATGTACAAGTCATGTACGAAGTGAGTTGGACCAAATTGTCTTGCCTAACAAAATGGCAGCATAAATAGGCGAAATTTTTGATGGTCTCAATTTCAGGCCCAGGAGGGCTATTAACAACAGTTTTGTGGAAATGGTTTACTGTGGAAGTAGTGAAAAAATATTTTAGTAACACACGGTTTGTAATATTTTGAGATGGCAGCTTTAATATATGGATGAATAAATTGAAAAATAGCACACTTTTTGGTGCGCAATAAATATACACTTTTTACAATGGGTGACACTGCAGCTCTCTGGTCATCCATCCCATTTTTTTCAGACCAGCAAACTACATATCTGCAGCTAGATTTATATGCAAAACTATTCCTCAGACTATGTTTTAATGAAAATATATTACTGTAAATAATTTTGTTTTCCTAATTATTCAAAACAACCCCCCCCCCCAAAAAAAAAAAAAAACAAAAACAAACACAAACAAAAACAAAACAAAACAAAAATCTAACTTTGTAAAAAACATTTCCCCAAAAAATATCCATGTATGCATCAATGACAGAGTTAATAATAAAAATCTAATATCATAGTTCCATCAATATTTCATGAAGATGAATAAAGACATGTGTACATGAGATTATAATGCCTGAAATGGCTCATTTTAGGTTCAAACAAAAAGTAAAATTTAAAAAATTGTTAATTAAAACTGTCTGGCAAAGCCCCACCAAGATTGAACAATCGAATCATCCCCTATCCTTAAATAATCAAGTAAATTTTTTTTCTCTAAAATCTTGACATTTTGTTACCTCAGTCAAGAGACCCCTTCCCGTTTTGTAAATTTTTAGCATCTTTTATACAATTCTGCTAAAACAAATAAAATCATACCAAAACACTGGAAATTCTCTGGACATGTGTGTGTGTGTGTGTGTGTGTGTGTGTGTGTGTGTTTTTAAATATTCTCTTTTGATAATACTAAGATACTTTTATGAACTGACCTCCTTTCTGATCATTGTATCATTCTTGTAATTGGAGTTATTGGCATATCGCAGTTTTCCTGTAAGAAAATATAATATGTTACATATTGTATGTTAAAAAAAGTGCATCACAAATATTCATGAGAAAGAATGGCCAATTAGATAGTGTCAAGGCCATTAGATTGTGTCACACTAAAAAGCATGTTGGCCAATCAGCTGATTTCAAGTCAATTCATAGTAGTACACTCTTTCAAACAACATTTTATGTAATTTTATAATTTACATTTGCTAAAATAAGAGTTTTAAAATGTTCTATATCCTCCAGAATTTATTTTTACATAAAAATCAAAAATCAAGACAAAATACACACATACTGAAAAATTGTCACTAATGATTCATGTATGAATTGATATGGGTGTAAACTAAATTGCACAGAAGGTGGTTGATGATTATTTTGGGGGTAGAAAAATTAAACCAGACCAGCAACAAATATTAGATGCCTTCATAAATAACAAAGATTGCATGGCTATCATTCATTTGGAAAATCTCATCCTTGCAAATTGCTAAAATCAGTAAAGAAAAGAATGGAGCAGAACAGTTGTAAGAAAGTCATTGTGTATTCCCCACTGATAACACTAATGCAGGATGACTGAGGAGGGGAAAGATAGTGAGGAATGTTTTGTTCTAAACTAGTAAAAGAATATGTTAGGAAAACAGTGTTGGTATAGTTTTCGAAAGGCCTGAATTTAGCAAGAGTTATTTCTCATTGGCCGCCATATTGGAGGTCCAACGAGTGAATTTGCCTCTTTGAGCAACCAATTTTAAATTATGTGGCAGAAGTATAAGGGCAGAAATCTTTAAAATACTAAAATTATGAATTAAAGGAAGCTTGTGTTAACATAAATTTATAAGAAAAATTGTGTTATCTTTCCCAAGTGCCCAGTATGACAAGTAATAATTGTTTGAATAATGAAGGAATTTCGGGCTTGTATACCACCAATATTGCGACCAATGGGAAATAACTCTTGCTAAAATCGTGTCAATTGAAAACTATCTATTACTTTGAAATGAAAGCTTAAATATGTATGAAAATTAAGCTCTTGAATCTGGAGAATTATGTACTGTAAAAAATAAAGCAGATTATTTGATTATTAAAGCTGTGGTATTTGTAAAATACTACCGTACAAACCACGATGTACTGCAGATGGAATCTCTAAGTATATGTATATTATATAAACTGGTCTTTTATTTATATTTTGATTGGTTAAAGGGCTATTTCTAAAATAATACTGGAAATATTGCAAGTTATTTATAGCAATAAACATATACTGTAGACATACTTTTTTCCATGAGGGATTAATTTAATTATCCTATGTTTACGGTTAAAGTTTTTATACAGAAATTTGTCACTGTGAACTTAAAGCACAATAAAGACATTCAATGGTAATCCACAAAATCTGTGTAATTTTCTACCTGCTGATTGAAGAGATATTGTGAATCCCCGGAATTATGACCTTGTGGGAAAAACTATGTTTAGTGTATAATAATTAAAATATTTTGACACTAAGATTGAATTTCTCAACATAGTAATTTTAATTTTATGCGTTATGCTCATTGACGACTAGAACAGATTGCAAAGATTAAAAATAAAAATTAAAAAATTATCTCGATACAAAATAAGACTATGAATGGGATACATAGACTTCCCATTGGGTTATAAATGAAGGATAAAACCAGAGACATCGGAAAGGAATACTCGTAAGTCTCTGGATTTATCCTACATTTATAACCCCAACCAGAAGTCCTTGTATCCCATTCGTAGTCTTATTTTGTATCGAGGTAATTTTCAAGGAAGAAATGAGTGGTTTATAATAAAGAGGCTTGAGAAGAGATGTCCGAAACGACTTATTTGACAAAAAAAGAAGTCTTTCGAAGCGAACAATGTCATTTTAAAGTAGGTATATGATTGATATATAAACAAAATATGAGCTTGAAGCGGGGGTGCCTGAAATTGAGATAGGTACCTTGTGGTAAAAATAAATAGGGGTGCTCCATATACGAAACAAGTACCTGTGGAAAGAACCCCCAATTCATATATATACTCATAGCGAGCGCAGTGAGCAGCGCGAAGCGCCGCTCGTCACTGAGAGCTCTAACGACAACGCCTGGGCGAAGAGAAAATTCGGACTACTGCATATTCATCCAATTGAATTTTTTTCCGCAGTAATTCTGGACCCACAATGCATCGCTTGTTCTTCTCGCTGCTAACTTTGTTTGCGCAGTAACAACAACTAAAAATTTATAAAAGATAAACTAACCTTAATTTAATGGATATTTCATACAGATAGTAGATTAAACGTTCTTTGTTAAAATTTTTGCACTTTTCAAACTTCGTTTATGGAAATGCAGCTAACATACGACGTCATGTGACGTCACAGTCTAGACGTTCCAAATGTCTCGTGAGGTTTGAAGAAGCGGATCTTAAAATAAATTAAGTGAACGATGCGCTCGCCCCAACGGTCGCACCGTCAACATATTAGTGGGAAACCCATGGCCGATCCGTTTCTCTTACATAGAATCGAGAGCGATCGTGGATTTCCAACTATGAGATATACTTATCATTATTCATAGTCAGGATACTTGAAGATATAGATACCGGTGTGCACGCGCACCTGCTTAAACCTATCAAGGACTGGTAATGAGCACATAATATATTATGAATTTGCATCAGTATAATTAAATTATAAAAGTTACCATCTGGACGAAACTCAAACTCCAAGAATTCATGCCCAAACTTCCCTTTGTGACCAACATAATACCGCAAGTAAAAATCTTTGGAGGCCGCCATTTTTGTGTTTGTGTAACTGTAGACACCGGACAAGAAAAACTTTTTATTTCCGAAAAAGAGTTTGATTGTATTCATGAATCAAGAAATAAAATCAGAAATTTGTCTCTGACAAAATGAAATATACTCTTTGTTCTTAGCTTTTTTAAAATGATATAAATATTTTTGACAGATTATCTGGTTTAACTTATTCCGGAGAATAATTTTCGATTTTATTATTATGGGGCGAAAAATAATGCCGGTTTGATTTATTTATTTCACTGGAGATCATCATGTTGCCAGAGAAGCTGGTCTTTGAAACGCCATGCAAGCAAGGCGCTTTGCGAGCTGTTAGATTTAATTGTAAGAATGCATTTGTTGTTGTTCATTGGAGTACATCTTTCAGAAAAATGCTTTACCTCGTTCGATGTACACATTTTGATTCATATTCTTCTTGACAAAGTTTTATTTGCCTTTAATATGTTTTACGGTGTGGCCGTTTGGGCGAGCCCAGTTGTACCATCAAAAAAGCTATTGCAGCTTACACTTGTAAGATCCGCCTCTTCAAATGTCAAACCGCAAGAGACACAGTCTAGACTGTGACGTCACAGGACGTCGGAATTTACAGAGAACAGCCGAGCGTCTGGTTGAACGAGACTAAAGATCTTGAGCAATAATAAATAAAATACGTTGTAGAGTTGATGTAATTATTTTTTGTTTCTTTTAAGCTCTCTGCAAAGAATGAAAAGTAAACGTATCTCTCGGTAATGAATAATTATCCTTGGTCTTTTGTATGTTTTGTAAGAATTTTGCATGGAACCCTGGTAGCGAAGGAATTCTGGGAATGTTGCACCAGAAAATTTGCCTGACGTATGTACAGATTTCATTCCGAATTTTCTCTGTTCTTACACGTTAGTCTGTTGAGCTCGCTTTGCGCCACTTGCTGCGCTCGCTATTAGTTACTAATCCATGGACTTCTAGCAACATCACATATGTACACATGTAATAAAGCCTTAAGCAGGTCTAGACAGCCTCCAGTAAGTCGTCAATCGGTATTTAGGAATTGGGTTTTCATAAATAATGGTTGAAGGTGAAAATTAAACTGCGGCTTAGCGAACAATGCTCGGACAACTGTTGGCTGACTTAGAATTATTTAATTTTTGAAATTATTGGTGTTCCTAGGAATTAATATGACTGCTCTACGTCGCCCGATACCAGTGTTGGTTGATCATGTTTTTCAGCCAACGATACGAGAAAAATTTGGTCGCCCGACCATCAGCTTAAATGTGACTTAGGTATTTATAAGAGTCAAATAATGTGTGAGGACTAACCCTAATCTCTCGTATGGATGCGAGACTAACCCTAATCAGTTGAATACTTGTGCAAGGACTAATCCTAATCTCTCAGGTGGGTGCAAGACTAACCTTAACCAGTCGAGAAGTGTGCATGCAAGACTAACCCTTGTCAGTTGAGTGATGTAAATTTTGGTACGGCATTGTACAATGAGTGTGCAGATCTTGCAGATCAGGGGACTGGTAAAGTAAAGTTTACCCTCATCATGGGATGTACACTACCTGACTTGCTTCAGATGCAGAATCTGACCTACATTTCCTGGAAGAAAGATCAGGTTAAAGGTTTTGGAGCATGTTTCATTCCAAATTAACTATAAGCCCTATGGTAACTTAACTTGCAAAGATGACGCATGTAGGAATGCACATTACCAGACTTGCTTCAGACACTGGATCTGACCTACATTTTCTGAATAACTTAAAGTTTTTGGAGCAGGTTAATTCCCAAGTAAAATTCCAGTTGTTGAACTTTTTTGTCATTTTTATGCAAAATATGTTCATAGAGTACATGAATATTGTCAGATGTCACCTCCTACAGTTTTCAGAATAGAAAGTTTTTAGCTCACCTGAGCCAAAGATTCAAGTGAGCTTTTCTGATCCAAAGTCTGTTGTCTGTCATAATGTTCTTGTTGTCATAAACTTTTACAATTTCAACTTCTTCTCCAGATTCACTGGGCCAATTTCAACCAAACATGACAGTGAGTACCCTTAGGTAAAGGGAATTCAAGTTTGTTCAGTTGAAGGGATACATCCTCTTTCAAGGGGAGGTAATTAAGAAATGGTATAGAAATTAGATGGGGCCATTTATGAATCTTCTCATTGACAACAAAAAAAAAAAACACTGGTCCAGAAAAGATGAAACTTATGTATAAGCTTCCTGACATAGTGTGAATTCAAATTTCTTCAAATCCTGACCCTTGAGGGCAGTGTGGGGTCAAAATAGGGGATCAAAGTTTTACATAGGAAAACAAAAAAATCTTTAAAGATCTTCTTCTCAAGAACAAAACGTCTCTAAATGAGTGAAAAATTCTTGAATGGGACGTAAAACAACATACAATAAATCAATCTCAAGAACAGCAAAGCCATGATCAGTCATATTTATATGGAAGCATCCTCAGGTAGTGAAGATTCAAGTTTGTTCAAATCATGGGTAGGGTGGGGCCATAATGGGCAATCAGATTTTTACCTAAGAATACAGTTGAAAAATCTGTAAAAGTCTTCTCAAGAACAGGGGCACCATGATTGTTTATATTTATATGGCAGTATCCTCAGGTTATGTTGATTCAAATTTATCGAAATCATGACCTCCAGTTGTAAGGTGGGACTACAATTGGCGATCAAAGTTTTACACAAGAATATATAGGAAAAAAAAATGCTGATGAAGAACAAAGAAGGGCCATAGTTACTCAGGTGAGCATAACAGCAAGGTGGCCCATGGGCCTCTTGTATAATTTGTGTGAGAAAAATCAGTACTGGTCACACAAAAGAAAATTTTGTTTGCCTGTTTCATTGAGAGGTTTGCCATTTTTACTTAGGTGATGGAAACTACTGTTTAACATGTGGGAGTGACAAATCAGTAAAGTTGTGGAATCCCCACAGGAATCTTCTGTTAAAAACTTACCAAGTACATGCCTATGAGGTTCTTGATGCCCAGGCTTCTAGTGATAACAGCCAGATATGTTCCTGTGGTATGGATAAATATGTATGTGTCACAGACGTGGCCACTGGAAAGTCACTCAGAAAGTACAGAGGTCATGCAAGTACTGTGAATTGTGTAAAATATAATGAAGAATCCTCTGTGATATTATCTGGATCTACAGACAACTCTGTCAGGATTTGGGACTGTAAAAGCAGAAAACTTGAACCTCTTCAGGTACTGTGACACAGTTGATGTACCACTACTCTAAATTTTGATTTAAACAGGTACACTGTATCAACAAGTGTATAAATATCTGCTTTCTATTTGCAAGGTGTGATTTACATGTAGATTATGATAAACAATCTGTAACAAAAATTATGTCTGGATCATATTCTTTAACCTTTGATTGAAATGGATTCAGACTCTAGTATGTGTTGTCATGATGCAAAAAAAAAAAAAAAAAACAAATAAAAAAAAAATCCTAAAATGTCAAATTGCAGACTTTTTGCATAATTTAGTGTCAGATACTAAAGTCAGAAAACCCCTTCTTCCCTAGATTTTGGATGAAGCCAAGGATAGTGTGACCTCCATACAAGTGTCTGACCATGAGATCCTGACTGGCTCTGCTGACGGTTACTTCAGACGATACGATCTCAGGACAGGCAAAATGCATGCAGACTTCCTAGGAAGTAATGATTTCTAAATTCATACTTATTTTGATGAAAATGATTTAATACTTGTACTCTTTTGAATTATTATGAATTCCTAGTTTTCCAGATACATATATGTGAGTAAATTACATGTAAAAACTGATATATGGCAGCACAATTTTCAATGACAAATTTTATACAATTCATTAGAAGCAGTTTCTTCTGTGAGTTTCACAAAGGATGGACAGTGTGTTCTAGCAAGCACTCTGGATGACACCATCAAGCTGATGGATAAAGAGACAGGGGAAATGTTAAATGAGTAAGTGAAAACAGGGGAAATGTTAAACGGGTAAGTGAAAACAGGGGAAATGTTAAACGAGTAAGTGAAAACAAGGGAAATGTTCAACGAGTTAGTGAAAAGGCTTTATTCTTACAGTTACTCATATAATGGCTTTTAATTTCAAAATCATAGCAAATGCATACAAGATGTGAAAGAATATCAGTTATGTAAATGACTTGGCCAAAATGTTTCTTGTTAATGTTGAAATGTTGACTAGTGTCAGGGCTTAATAACCCTTGCATTTATCCAGGTCCTTTAAAAGGATTCTATTCCAGTTAAAAATTTAACTCTTTTCCCCCCAAAATTTATGTAAAAATTCCCGAAAGACAAACAGATTGAATTTATCAGGCTTTTTATGTCAAAAAAACTAAAATTTTGACATTGTAATGATTCATAAAGATGTAAATAAGGAATAAGTCTACAATCTATCTCTTTATTCAACAGTTTAACGTAACGTAGGAAAAAATATTTCAAAATTTTGCTACTTTTTCCATTTAAAATTCCCAGATGAAAGGATACAGGACCCAGTCTCTCTTTTTATGTATCAGTGGAAAATGATATATTTAAAAACAGCTGATAGAAACAAAAGAGTTACATTATTGATAACATATAGTGCATATTAGAATACAAAAATAGGAAAAAGGTGACTTGACCCCAGATTTAAAAAAAAAAAAAAAACGGAAAAGGGGGGTGGGGGTCCATACCCCAAGTGCCTGTGCAATTAAGCCCTAAGAATGACACACTGACTTTCAGAACTTAAGTGATCAATGTATATCTGTGGATGGTACATCATCTTGTCAAAGTCAGAAGCTTGATTAAGTCAGCTTTCCAGTTATTTAGTGTCTCTTTTGTTCTTACCTTGTATCCATATTTTTGACTTTTTGCATACTTTGATAAAGGATATACAAGTTTGTTCAATATGGAGTTATGTTCCAGTTTCACAGAAAGATAATGAAAAATATATTGAAGATATCTCATCTAATACTGCATGACCAGAAATTTGGAAACTTGTATAAAAGCCTATGTATGCTGTATGCATGAATTAAAAAAA